GGGTAACACAGGGAGTAACTGTGCCAGCTCTCACATAAGATTTGTATTGGGTTTGACCTGACACAAATAAATGTGAACGTTAAAGTAAACCTAAGGGTCCAAAACTCAGTTCTCCAGTGATCCATGGGTATGAAGACTGATGTTTTACAGCTGTCATCAAACTCTCCCATCCAGTGTGGCGACTGCTTTAGCTCAGTGAGCACACTCTTGAAATGCTCCAGCACTGTCATCCTCCATTAAACATTTTTGAGCATGATGTCTACTGTATTTGCTTTTCTAAGCAAACTGCTAGGTGGTAGAGATGTACACACTGCTCAGACAACAACTTTGGTTCCTGACAAGTACAACACCCTGGTTAAGTTATCCACTAAAGAACTTCCACTCAGGTCAGAGCTATCCTGCCATTTTATTACCAGCTGTATTGGGTCACTGTAAGCTTGCTTCTATTCAAATGAAAGAAAGAACTGTTTGAAAAATATATATAGTAATTGTTTTATCTTCTCTATCTCTCCAGATTGTTTACCTCTCGCGTTCTTGGCATTCCCTTGAGTACCATTTTCCTTCTGTGTTCACCAGTGTAATCACCAAGGACTCAAGTCACTGAGTGGAAGAAGAGTAGACCTGAGTATGGACCAAGATAACCAATAGTAGGAAAGAATGCATGCAATACTTTAAATGGAAATGAGACTCATTACATAATAAGTTTATTTTTTTAAGTGTCCCCCTGACAGACTCTACTGATCAGAAAAAATATAACTGGGAAAAAATGCACATTCACACTTGACATTCTTCAATTTTTTCTTTTTAATCAAAGTACAGATGGAAAAATGTGCTATTGATGGAACAAAAGTAGTCAATACTTGCCAGATGTCACTCTATTCCAATAATTTAAGGTGTTCCACAGGAACAGTGCAGCAACATTTTATTGAACAAAACAAAAGCAAGTCAGATGAACAGATACAGCTTAAGTATCAATTATAAACTGAGTACAAACACTTCAAGAACAACAATGGATTTTTTAAAGGTGACATTTTTTGCCTTATTTGTGTACAGAATTGCCTTAATGAAACATCAGCTTAGACTTAAGAAATTGCAAGTTGGACATGGCACAGAGGATGGCCTTTTCCAGTGTTTTAGATCTGCATTTTGTTTTACAACCTAGGTTCCCTGCTGATACTACATACTTCTGTGAAGCATTTTCTTCAGATGCTGCGCAGACACAACATATGCTTTTGGGCTTTACAGAAGAAGCTCACTAGGTCCATCAAATGGATTCAGTCCTACCCTTCCCCCCAAAAAAAGAAAGCCAACTAGTGGCACCAGAGCTATATGTTCTACAGAAAGGGACAGGAGATATTTTAGGTTTTCATTTAAAAAAATGGTTTTATGACGCAAAAAGGTGATCTATGAAGAAAGCAATTAGCAGTAGTCACTGATGTAATGTCAGCCTTTCAGTGAACTTAGTTGAACTTCCAGAACAAACAAAAACACCCTGTTCTTGTTTCTCAATGTATTTTGTCTTATTTCAAGAAATGTCTTCAATATTTAGTTCAAGTTCAGTGAGGGGCAAGAGCTGTCTACATTTAAAAGATACTTTTTAAGACTGAAGCAACACTGCGAGTTTTAATTACTTTGCTAGGCTTTCCTGGAGCTAAAAAGCCCGTCAAATCTTAGCTTGCTCTAGTCACAGCATAAACACTGAATTATGGAATATCAACTTCAGACTGTTGCCTGTGATGTCAATGTTTTGTATTCCTGTACTAGTCTTTGCATGCCAGAGTACAGACAGCATGCTATCGTCAAGTTGAAAGTGTTACCTACTCAATAGAAGCTTCCTAAAACTTATGCTAGAAGACTTAAACAAAAATCCCACAGGACCACAGCTTGTCATCCCCTAAAGGCCTGTGTCATGATCCCAGATATGATGAGAATGTGATAAGGAAAGAATTTTAAAAACACGAAAGATCATGTACAGGAAGCAGCTTCAGGGTTATGCCTTATCAACCCAATCTACTTCTAGCTTTATAATTAATAAGAAATGGTCAGTCAGACAAAACATTGTTAGTACGTGCTGTAAGACTTACACATTCCAAGTTCCACGTAAAAGTATTTCCACTTTTAAATGCAAAGTATATTGGTTAAGAAACCTTAGTCATTACAAGAAAAAAAACTGTTCAAAAAGTAAGGGCCAGTTCCATTTCTCCCTTGTTCTAAAGGTCTCTACTGACAGATAAATAATCACTGAAGGGTAAATTTCCAGCTATTTGTAATTCACGCTTTTCTGGTGTAAAATATGGGTAACTTTGATCCTTGAAGTCAATTTCTTGCACAGGTTGCTGAAGACCAAGATGATCACAGGCATTACATGCTTAATCTTGAAGTGTTTCAGCTGCAGCTGATATTCAAAGGACTGGCATGCAGATGCTACTATGCTGTTTCTATTACCTCATCACACTTGAAAAAGTTATTTTTTTGTAAACTTATCATTCAGACTGTGTGTTTTCTGATGAAAAATGGAAGCTAATGCAACAACATACAAAAATTTGGGGCTTGGTTTCCTTTTTAAAAGTAGTACTGCAGCACTGAGGACTTTTTATATGGCAATTTTCATGCCTCATGATTGCACGATAAAACTAGCACCAGGGCTGAGCAATGCTTCACTCAAAGAAAGCTGTTGTTTAGGAGACCTTCCACTCTCTGGAAGCTCATAGGAATCAACCATTTTAACTTTTCAGTTGCTTAACAAGGAGTTGCCAGACTGTGCACATCTGTACATATTCCACACCAGTTAAGTCCTGCTGATTTGGAGATGTACCTTTAAGAGTCTCTCATTAGACGTTGACTTTAAACCCATTTTAACACCTTATATAAGAGGTTCTGCACCACATGTCTAACTCCCTGTCTCCCAATGGCCAAGCTATATAACAGCAAGCAATGTAATTTCACAGGAGTTCTTGCTTCCACTTTCTTGTATTGTGCTTTTGACCAGTCAAGAGACAACTGATAACATACCCTGTTCAAACGCAGTAGAGGATGAGGACAGCAATAAAAGAAACCTCACAGAATGCCCAGGAACCGCTTCATTTTTTTTGCCATATGAGAGAGTGGAACATTATGTTCCCATCAGCACCTTACTGCTACAACAAACTGAAAAGCAGGCATTAACATTATATAGGGACTACTAGATATGCACAATTAAAAACTGACATTTTTGTGCAATTATAGCTTCTTAAGGGAGAAAAGACAGTAGCATCACATAGAAACAGCTGTATTTAGAATCTGCATATAAATTGAATAAATCAGCAAAAAACAACTGTGAGGAAAGAACACAGAAGAAAAAGACAGGAGGAGGACAGAAAAATTCCTTGAGGAGGTTAAACTGCTGCCACACAAATACACTGCTAAATCCAAGTGCTTGTGTGCCATGTGGGAGAATGCTAATTGTTCACAGGTATCAGAGCTGAAGGTCTTGGATGAATACCAGGAAGCAGTGTTGAGAAAGTCCATTGTACAATTAAGAAGGGAGAGGAGTCGCTGAACGAGGCACTTTCATTTAAGCCCATCCTGCTAGATCCTTACCCAGTTATTTACCACTGAGGGTTTCCTTTCCCAAGCTTGAAATCAAGGAACATCCCCTCCAGAAAAAAAAAAATACAACCAAACAAAAAGACCAAAACCACTCCCGAAAGAATGTGTTTTTTTGGTTTTGTTTTGTTTTTTTTTTCCTGTAGGAAGAAGGGTACAAAAGGAGACAAATCTTATTTGGTATAGGACTAATCAGTATTTGTAAAACATTTAAAAAAAAATAATAAAAAAAGGCTTCTGTTCTATTTTTGAATGGTTATAATACCTGCCACCCAGGTGATTCATTATTAGCATCTCTGCCTCACAGCCCTATCAGAAAGTCTACAAAACTACTAACATTTTTCATGTTAACAGGATAATGCTTACAAGAATTTAGCTAAAAACTCTCAAACCACATGCCTAAAATTCTGAAAAACCATCACCTTATTTTTAAACAATATTTTGGTCAAGTTGGCCAGATGCCCAAATTCTACAGGGCCAACAATTCCTCCCCATTTATTTTCTGCAGAAAATTGTGAATGCTGAGTGTTCCGCTCATTCTGCAGTTAGACTAGTTTAATGCCTGTGGAGGAGCTTACCATGCAGCTCAGGGTGAAGCTCTTGAAGGCTTTGATCTCCAAATCTGGCTGCAGACTGTCACCCTTTCAAGTTTGCCAGGTGAGTCACATCCCTCCCTATTTGACAGTCACTCTGCATCCACCGAAAGATATGGACACTGCTGTTTAAAGGCACAACCCACCTGAAGTCTCAGAAACGTCCTTAGGTGCCCCTTCTCCTTCCAAGGCCATTAGAGGGAAGCAGTGGCAGTCACAGCCTGCATCCCAAGCAGGATTACTCTGCAAGCCTGAATTTAGCACCTGCCTATCCTTCCTTGAAAAGGAGAACCAAGTTACTGACCCCAGATGGCCTCCTCACAATTATTAACAAAACATGTTTCTCTTTCAGTGTCAGGCAGGACTATCTCGCTCCTGTATCTTTGGGACAGGCTCACTTCTGGGCAAAAGCTCCCCAGGAATGAGGGTGATAAGGAAGCGCTCCTTTGGCTATTCAGCAGAGCCCGTTTCTTCCTCGCTCTGCTGCCTCTGGGCCTGGTTAAACTAGTTTGGGCAGCTTACCAGGGCCCTAGAGAACCACATCAAAGTGCATGGACTTCTCCTGTTGTCTTCCGTGTTTGTGGAGTGGCTGTGAGAAGGCTCCTGCCTCCACCTACGTACTGGGACCACTTGCACCCTCACAGAGCTGCCACCACAACAGGCAACACACACACTTGCCTGTCCAGGGTCTTCTGGAGTGGAGAAGAGTCCATAGTCACCAACATGGAATGCCATAGCCTGCCAGGCTCTTGCCCTACCCTCTGGCCAGCTGGGGCAACCAGAGGCCAAGGGCTACATTCTACCTCACTTCTCTAGCTCTACTTCTACTGACAGAAAAAATGAAGCAAGATGTCCCCCTAAAAGATGAACACCTACACAGATCTTTGAGTAGACAGGTTGGGACCTTTCAGCTTGTTCCCTTTTCCTTTGGATTTCAGTGTAATTTGGAACAGTGGCAAATTAACAGAGACCAAGCATGTAGAGGAACAGAAAAAAATTCCTGTGTTGTTTGGGGTTTTGTTTGTTTGGGGGTTTTTTGTTGTCTGTTTTGTTTAGGGTGGTTTTTTTTGCATTGGCAGGTTGTCATCTGTCCTTCAAGTCCGTTTAATTTCACTCATTTAAAGCAGGGTGATGGTAAATTGAGAGGAATGAAAAGGCAGACTTTGCTCTGCTCTTGGTGCCACTGCAAATCCGTCGCTGAAATAATTTTAGCCTTGAAAACACGGCCAGGCAGAAGTGTTCCGAGAGCCACAAGCGCACTGCGAAAAGCACGAGCGTTGTCCTTCCCCCGCGCCCGGCCGTGCTCCGTTTAACATCAGCTCTCCCAGGGCTGATCCCGATCCCGGTCCCGGCCCCGGCCCCGGCCCCGGCGGGAGCAGGAGCCGGCGCGCGCTCAGCGCCAGCGCGCGGGCGCCACCTGGCGGGGGCGGTGGGGGCCGCAGCGGTGCCGTGAGCGGGGCGGCGGCGCCGGGACCCCGCCAGAGGAGCGGCCCCGCTGCAGGAGCGATCCCGCCGGGATCGATCCCGCCCCCGCCCGCCCAGGCTGAGGCGGCGGGCGGAACGAGCTCTCTATCGAGTGGCGTTCGCCTGGGGTCAGTATCGGGACCGGCGCTGTTTAAGATCGTTGTCGGCGACGCAGACAGTGCCATCGAGTGCACCCTCAGCAAGGTCGCCGACACCAAGCTGTGTGGTGTGGCTGAGGGAAGGGATGCAATCCAGAGCGATCTGGACAGCCTTGAGAGGTGGGTCTGTGTTCAACAAGGCCAAGTGCCAGGTTCTGCACCTGGGTCAAGGAAATCCCAAGCACAGGTACAGGCTGGGAAGAGAATGGATAGAGAGCAGTCCTGAGGAGAAGGACTTCAGGGTGAGAAGCTGTGGATTCCTCATCCATGGAAGTGCTCAAGGCCAGGCTGGATGGGGCTTTGAGCAACCTGGTTCAGAGGAAGGTGTCCCTGCTTATGCCAGGGGCGTTGGAACTAGATGATCTTTAAGGTCCCTTCCAACCCAAATCACTCTATGACAATTCATCGACCTTTTGTTCAGCAATACATTAAGCCACCATCACAAGTCACACTGACTCCATGGTTGCAGCTCCATTGCACCTCTCCCCAGTGAAGAGATGAGTATATTGCCTTTTCCCACCAGGACTGTGAGGCCTGCACTGGACAGTAGCAGCCAGAGCCCTAACATCACAGGTTATGAGCTTTCCATACCCTACCAGTTATCTACTACGTTTGTCATCTTCAAGTCTGTGTTTGGTGTTTGGTGTTTGCCCGACCAGACTTGCCCTCTGTGTTGCAAGATCCTACCCTTCAGCCCTTCCCTGGAGTCACGAGCTGCAAAAGAGCTGAGCCAGGCCCTATCACAATAGTCCGATCTACTTTGCAAAACCAGAAGTGTAGTTGGAACTCAAATCCCACATTTCAGTATTTCAGTGGAAGTGTCAAGGACTATCATTAATTCCGCGTATTTTTCATCTATGCAGTTTCAAGGTGACTATTCTCAAGCATTTCTTCTGCAGACAGCTGTCACAGCACAGACTTGATAAGCATCTACACCTTCTCAGGCTGGTATGCTCTGCACTCCATACTGGTACTGCACCTTACAGTGTTGGCCTGGCAGCTACAGAAATGTTTCACCTTTCGAGGAGTGGATCCCAGGCTTCCTTACAGAAGTGTGCTATTGTGGTACAGGCGCAGCATGTGCACACATGATCAGGTGCCTTCCAAAATGTTTTTCTTGAAGGCCAAATTCATAGCTATAGCAAACTACGTGCATACTTTGGTCAGAAATTTAGGCATAAATGTTTTGCAGTGTGTCCTGATATTTATCTTATTCCATATGGTATCACAGAGCAAGCTAATTTGTAAGTGAGGGCTGGAACTGTTGCATGGAAAAGAAAATGGAGGCTACCAGAACGCTGTTAGACATCAACGTTACAAAATTGTCTCTAAATAGTAATTCTGGAAGGATACCAAGAAATATATATTTTCTACGCACCCTTCCACAGCATACCACTTTTTAATCATTTTTACCTTCCTTAAAGAGGACAGTCAGATAAAACCTTAGAGCCTGCTGATGTTATGCAAGACATTGCTCTACTTTCCCACCACACACATTTTTGTCCTTAACACATGCATCTTTTAAAAGAGTTTTAAACACTTTCTTACAGTGTATGCCTTGACATAGAACTGTTATTGAATAGAGGGATTATTCAGGAGTAATCTGTTCACACTTCTGACCCCTACATTTTTGCTTTCTGCCACAAAAGACATGAGTGCCAAGCATCTATCTGAGGTCTCTTGTCAGAAAGCATCTGTGTGAAAAAAGGTAGCTTTTAAAGAAAGCTGGAATAGGTACATAGTGAACTGTTCGGTAGTCAGAGCTTTCAGGATGCCTACATACAAATCAAGATGGAAAGCAAATGGCTCTGGAATGATTTACTAGGACTACTTTCTAAAATTTTACATTGGCCTTATCGCGACTTCCAAAACAGATTTGTGTCTTGCAGAAGCATGGCACCATCAGCTCTGTATTTTGTGGTGACAACTCCTCAAAATTACCTATAAACAGGCTCAAGCTCTAGATCTTCAAACCCATCTCCATTTTCTGAGGTCAAGTCTTACATCATGAGTTTTACAACAGGCAGAAAGTTACTTAAGTTTGTTCAGAGCCTTTAAGTCACCAATCTTACTACCCACTATTATCTTGGATTTGTTCTTAACCACTACAACTATTAAAGACCCAGAAGCGTGCTCTTCTATTCCCATATCTTTTTCAATAGAAGCTGCTTCATCTATGAAAATGATAAGGTGCTTCATATTGCTTGGCAAAGATTTCAGTCTTTCTTCAAGCTTGCTGTATGTACCAGTTTGCATTAGAGACTCATTTTCCCATAGATTCTGACATTCTAACCACAGAAACTTTTGTTTCTCTTGTACCCAAAAATGACTTGCACACCAGACCTCATGCTTTAAAAATACTACCAAAAGTAGTTTCTCTTCCAGACACTTATTGCAGCCTCCACAATAATAACTCTCAGAAGAGTTTAAAAGTGCTCCAAAAATTACATGACAGAATGAGTCTCAAAGCCATGAGATGACAAATGAGTAAAGCCTTCCATCAGGAAGACCATCTTCACATCTCTGCACTCGAAAGGCAGTCAGTTCCTTACTCCACAACAAGGACTGCTCTACCTGAACAAAGCTGAGAAGTGTCCAGCTTCCAGTGGGAACAGCTTATTTGACCAACAAGCCTATGTATCCCTATCATAGACCATTCTCTGCCCCCACCACTCCCCACATCAGCTGTAAGGCAAGCACTGCTGCATGTGACCACAGCAGTTCACAGCAGCAGCAAACACCACATTTTAGTTTAGTCTCCACCACGCTACCTGTCAGACAACTATACTTCAAAAAAGCCACGGTTAAAGCTACAGTGAATTGATTATGATAAACCATTTTCTCCATGGTAAATAATGCAAAACCTAGCTGGGACAAGGAAGGATTTGCTCTTGGAATTCTCAGCTGTAGTCAAGAAGTCAGAAGCCAGTTGTGCATCACCTCTGTGTCTGGGAAGCCACACTGAACATTGAGATCTGCATCACTACAACCCAGTGCAGCACAGTAAGCTTCTGTGGCATCTTCTGTCCCTGATACAAAAGGCTACCACATAGTAGCTAAACAACCTCTTGACTTTTTGGGGGGCTAGTGGATTAAAATGGAAGGGGAAAGCTCAAGGACCCAACAGGTAAACACCACAGGATTTTCACTCTCATCATAATAAAATTAGAGATAAAATTTAAGTGATATATTAAGCCTACCACAGTACTCAAGTTTAAAGATACTCCCTTGTGGACACCTGTGATTTGCTACTATAGCAGAAAACAAAAATTCAAATGCACCAATAGATTTACTTCAAGTTAGAATACATTACAGGAGGCAACTATTTCACAGGAGGTTTTTAAACTACAGAAAGAGGCAGTCAAAGCAATGTTTCAGTTAGGGTAGAGAACGTTGCATTAATTTAAAAAACTAAATAGTGGTAAAGTTGGAGTCTGTCGCACTGGTTAATGAATGAGGTGACTGTTCTTAGATATCCACACATGTACAGATCATAGCTAGCATGAACAGCTTTTACAGCACTGCTGTATAATCTCATTCTGTTATTTGACTACTGATGGTAATTAAGGACCATAAACCATTGCCAAAAAATAAACAAATGTGTACAACCTCCAGAACTGTGTGCAGATATTCTAGGTTTACTACAGAGTACTTCACTGTTCAGAGAAAATGTGAAGTTGTATTAAGTTCTTAAGCATGTAGAAAACATAAGAATGGAGACAAACACTTTACAAGCACAGAAAACCAACAATAACCAAGAAAGTTTTGTTTATGTAGAATTAATATCTTGAACCGGGATAATGAGGAACAAAATTCACAGATTAGAACTACTAAAGCAGTAGAAAACCACAAAGAAAGCTTAGGTTGTAGCGACAGAGTCAACCCTTCTTTCCTTCGGGAGCTGCACAGGAATACAACTATAACTCAGACTTTTTGTAGGATCTGACTCTAGTAAGTTAAGTACTTTACCATACATACTACTTATTAACTACCAAAACTGACGTAGTAGTACCAAGGTATTAAGTCAAAGACATGTGCATCATGATTAAGGGTACTAGCTGTGATGTATTATATATGAAAATGATACATTATGTATGAAAAGAAACAAGCATAGCAACTGATATCTACAAACTAAAGTCACAGTGGCACACTGAACAATTTTAGGTTAACCAGACTCACTTAAAAATAGAAACCAGAGGCTAGGCTCTTCTCTCACCCCATTTTGCATGTCTTTACTTCCATTGATTTCAAGTGGAGTTCTTCACAATTTATGCCATTGTGAGAGGAGAATCAAGCCTTGTGTGTTTGAAAGGAAACAGCAGACATGTTTCCCACCAGAGTGCAGGGGGAGATTTAAAAAAACACAAGTATATGAACTGTGAAACCGATAGAGTACACA